TCCCGGCCCATGGCTGGAGGTTGGAGGAGATGATCTCCAGGGTCCCTTCCAACCTCAGCTAGTCTATGATTCTATGATGTGGGCTTGTGCCAGCACCGAGGGTTTGCAGAGGGGTCAGTGGGACATGGTCAGGGGTGCTGCAGGGACTCGGTGCCATTGCCCTCCCCCGTCTGTGGTTGTCCTGAGCCCTCCTGCTGTCCCCACACAGGCTCCGCTCCTGGACGTCCTGCAGCTCCACACCCTACACCTCCCGGCACGAGCGAAGCCGCAGCCCCGCCGCGCTGCCCAGCACCTACAGCCTGGACACCATGCCCAAGTTTGCCTTCTCCTCGGAAGATGAAAGCCCTTGCGTGGCATCCTCCAAGCCAGAAAGACCCAAATTTGTGCTGGGAGACCCGGACGTGAAGCCTTCGGCACTATCCGGTGCGTGGGCTGAGGGTGCTGGTGCGGGGTGCTCCGGGGCCAGCAAGGGCCCCACATGGTCTGAGGTGGCTTCTCCACATCCCCAAACTCTCCCTCCTCCCCTCTGTGCAGCCGATCTCGTCAGCCTGAACCGCATCCGCCTCCGCAGCAACAGCACCGGCACCAATGCGGGAGCCGGCGGCTGAGCAGCCACAAGGACGTGCCAGATAGGCAGAGAACCTCACCGGGCAGCCGAGTCCCCAAATCTGCCTCTGTCTCAGCCCTGTCCCTCATCATCACCTCAGGTCCGTGCGCCTCGTGGTTCGTCCCACCCGCGGGCGGTGGCCACGGGGTGCTTGGGGCTGAGCCGCTTCCTCCCGCCCGCAGACGACTTCAGCGGCGGCGCCTTGATGAGCCCCATCTCCCCCCACTCCCTCTCGTCCAACCCATCCTCCCGGGACTCCTCCCCGAGCCGAGACTCGTCCCTCGCCATCGCCAGCCTGCGGCCCCCCATCATCATCCACAGCTCGGGCAAGAAGTACGGCTTCACCCTGCGGGCCATCCGCGTCTACATGGGCGACAGCGACGTCTACACTGTCCACCACATGGTCTGGGTACGTGGCCGGAGGCACCAGCGCTGCCAGGTGGGGAAAACCCCGTGAGGAAACAGGTATAATCCAACTCAAATCTTGTTTGGATGGCAGAGCGTGGAAGAGGGGAGCCCAGCGCAGGAGGCGGGGCTGAGAGCGGGCGACCTCATCACACACGTGAACGGTGAATCGGTGCTGGGCTTGGTTCACCGTGACGTCGTGGAGCTGCTGCTGAAGGTACGTGTCTGGAGGTGCTCTGCTCGCCCAGCACCAGCACATCAATCTGGCAGCTCCCCGGCAGCACCTCCACTGGGAGCCGGGTTGGATCTGGCGCTGGGATCCAGCAGGCTGCAGTGATTTGTTTTCTGTCTCTCAGAGTGGGAATAAGGTGGCCCTGCGGACCACTGCCCTGGAGAACACCTCCATTAAAATAGGCCCTGCTCGGAAAAACAGCTCCAAGACGAGGATGGCACGGAGGAGTAAGAAGAGCAGGAAAAGGGATGGCCAGGACAGGTGGGTAGGATGGGGGTGGGATAAAATGGCATTTGTCGTGGGATGTGCCGTACTGGAGGGTCAGGCCAGCTCTGCCCTACTAAGGTGTTCAGTGGGGTTTGGTCCTGCTGGCACCAGGTCAGCATGCTTGGGGCCACCAGCTTTAAGGGGAAGCTGAGGCAATTCCTGTCCCCGCCACCTTTGTCACTCTCCTCAGGAGAAAATCCCTTTTCAAGAAGATCTCCAAGCAGTCGTCGGTCCTCCACCCCAGCCGCAGCTTCTCCTCTGGTCTCCACCACTCGCTGTCCTCCAGCGAGAGCCTCCCGGAGTCCCCCACGCACAGCCTGTCCCCGGGTCCCACGACACCGTGCCGCAGCCCCGCTCCCGACCTGCCCCCAGGTACCCCAGCCCCCGGCGA